AGTGCCTCGCACGCTGCTGTCACCATCGGGCTCACCTCTATTAAACTCATAGCACAGTAATAAACTACTTGGGGCAGGGAGTGGGGCAGCAAAATGGATCGCGTATGGTTTCCCAGGCCCATAAATGTAGGAGACATCCACCTCCCCCCTCTGAAGGCTGGGGTGGGGGCTCATGTCCCACTGGAAGCAGCGGTTTATGGCCCCTGGTTGCCGTGTTTCCGCTCTCCCACGCTCCAGGGCCCATCCCGGTCCAACCCAGCCCCTCTGGAGAGGGAAAAGGGCTGGATGGGATGGACGGAGTCACACACAATCCCACGCATGCTGATGGATATGCGTGTCCTGCCAATGTGCACAGCCCCGGCTCCCCCCCCTTCTGTGCCATGGGGCCAGGGCGCCTGGCTGGTGCTGTTTGTTTTGGCTATGGTGGTGCTGAACACCGGCCAGTAAATACAGAGCAGGTGACAGTGGGACGTGCCAGGGCCTGGGCCACGGCCCCCCTGGCACGGATGTCACGCTCCAGGGCTCAGTGTAAACCCCCAAGCTCCTCCCTGCCCTCAGCACAGCACCATGGCGGGGACGCTGAGGCACAACTGAAGGCAGTGGGTCCATGCCCCACATCCACCCACAGCACGGTGCTGAGGGGCCCCAGGGACACTGTTCCCCCACAACACCCCATCACTGATGTCTCCCTCCCCAGCTCAGCACCTACAACACCTCCACAGCGACCAGCTCTGCCCCGCTTTTATTAGCAACCCCCTTCCCCTAGAAAAGTGCAAGACTTGCTTGGACAGAGAAGTTAGAACAAGGACTTGGTCTCTCCCATCAGGGTCTGGAGGGGTGTCTCTGTACCCTAACACTGACATCAGGATGGGGAAGGGGGACGCTGCTCCCCGCCCCAGGGAAGCAGCGCCCAAAGGTGCTACTGGAGGAGAAAGGAGAGTGGGGAATGCAAAGGGTGGTTTTAAGCCCCAGCTCAGCGGTCACAGAAGCCGGGCATGGGGAAGGCACGAGCAAAGGTCTCCACGCGCTGGCGCAGGGCAGCCAAGCGCTGCTGCGTCTCCGCGTCCTGCAGCAAGAACATCTTGAACTCCTGGAGCTTGCCTGGGGGTGCAGGAGGGCGGGGGGACATTGCAGCAAGGGGGGAGGCTGGCACCAGCTCCGGCACAGTCCCCGGCACCCTAACTTGCACCCAGAAAGGGGAGAGATGGGGGGGACCCCTCCTGCTCACTCACTGGTTTTGCTCTTGACATCCAGGGCCAGCGTGATGCCCTCGTCGATGAAAGCCACGACCTTCTGGAAATCCTCCTCGTGGAAGTGGCGGGATGTCAGTGCAGGGGCCCCTGGGGGACAGAGATCATCAGGGGCACCGTCTGCACAGGCCAATCCCAACAAGGGGCTCCCACAGTCCCGGCCTCTCTCTGAGCCAAAAACTGGCTCCAAATTCCCACGTGGGCGAAACAAAGTGGGGATCCCCCCCAGGGAAGGAGCTGGACGGATGGAGGCAGGGCCCATCCCTCACCCAGGCGCAGCCCCCCTGGTGTGAGCGCACTCTTGTCCCCTGGGCTCGTTTTCTTGTTGGCCGTGATGGAAACGAGCTCCAGCACACGCTCAGCCCGGGCACCGTCGATGCCCTTGGGCCGCAGGTCCACCAGCACCAAGTGGTTGTCGGTGCCGCCTGAGGAGCAAGGGAAAGGGGTGAGGAGTGACAGACAGCACCACCAGCCACCCCTCTGCTCACTGCCACATCCTAACCTCTTCTCTACTCTTGTTCTGGAGCCTTCCAAGCCCTGTTCTGCCCTTGCACACCCCCTATTTGCACCCCCAACCCACCCATGCTCCCCACTGCTGCCCAGGGGCACTGAGGCCAAGTGATGCTGCAGCCTCATCCCTCTTTCTCCCCAAAAGCACAGGGAGGGAGGCAGTACCTGACACCAGGGTGTACCCACGCTGCAGCAGGGCCTGCGCCATGGCTTTGGCGTTCTTCAGCACTTGCTGGCAGTACTGGTGGAAAGCTGGTGAGCTCGCCTGGGAGGGGGGACC